TTCCAAAAGTATGAATTTTAACCATAATTTGATTCAAAATTTGAATATAATTAAAACCTTGATAAGAAGAATTCAATTGAACTTGATTTTTTATTTTGTGTTCTAAATCATTTCTAATTTGTTCAATAAAATATTTATTTTTTTGTTGATTGATATTTTGTTGATCAGTAATTAAATTTTCATTTGGACCTTTTTGAATATTCAGTTTCTCAGCAGTAAGTTCAATTGGTTGAGGAATTATGTCCCATTCAGTATTATTAATAAATTCATCAAATAATGTAGGATAATCAGAGAGAACTTCAAGTATTTGTTAAATAATACTATCAATTGAACTTGTAGCTTTGACTCTATTTTTATTAATGATAGAGATATTTTGATCAGATATTTCAACAGTATTGTGTGAAATATTATTGTTTTTCTAAATTTGTAAAAATTGTTTAAGAGCTTGTATTCTTTTAATTGGTAGTTGGCTAAAAAGATTATTGATAGGTTGAGCTTTTATTGTTTAAACAATTGTGATTTAAAAGTTTATAATAAAATTTGTAAAATTTTAAGAATTTAGAAATTTAAGAGATTTGGAAGAATAGAGAATAATTATATAGTTTTTAAGATTATACAATCTACTATTTATTTATAATTAATTAATATTGTTTATTTGTAGTATTATAATTTATGGAATAGGTAATTAAGAAAGGTCTCTTTCAAAATATAATTTTAAATGATTGCTATATACAGGATTTTTTACTTTTCATCCATTCATTGCATATAATTTGTAAGTACCAAATGACAAAATATCATAGATTATATATGGTCCAATTCATTTTTCTTCTAATTTTGCAAAGAAGATATTTTTAAGATAAGATTGAGCTACTAAAACTTTGTCACTAATTTTTAACTCAGGGTTTTTAATATTTTTGTTGTGAGCTTCTTTTGTATTTGTTGTGCTTGTTTAATATTTTCAACAGCTTTTTTTTGTTGTTTTAAAGTTATATCTTCTATTTCAAATGTTTATTTTATTAAAGCTTCATTAAAAGATATATCTTCATCATAATAGGTTTTAATAATAGTTTCTATTAGAAGTTTAGCATCTCTTTTATAGATTAAGGAGAATGGTGTAAATTTTGTTGTACTATGCTTTATAGTTCTATAGACTAATAGAACAGAAAGCAATATTTGGTCCTATTTCTTATAGTTATAGCTATTAATTTTAGTTATTGCTTTATCTATTGTTCGATTAAATCTTTCAATTATACTATTTGTTTGAGGTCAGTATGCAGAAGATTTGTGATGTTTAATTTGAAAATTATTACATAATTCCTGAATTAATTTACTTATAAAGTTTCTTCCACAATCACTTAATAAAATCATTGGTGCTTCATGTTAACAAATTATATCTTCATATATAAATTTTGCAACAGTTTCAGCTTTCATATCAGAAATAGCTTGTGCTTCTAGCTATTTAGTTAGATAGTCCATGGCTACAACAATATATCTATTGCTTTCTTTTGTGATTGGTAAAGGTCCTTTTATATCAATTCCTACTCGATGGAATGGTGCTTTAACTTCAAGTAGCCATAGTGCTTGTCTTCTAACTTTATTGCCTCTTTGTTGGCAAATATTACAAGTTTTTATATAATTTTTAATATTCTTGTATATTGTAGGCCAATAATATCTTTCTTTTGTTTTGTTATAGATCGATTCTATTTCTAGATGAGTATCTTGCTCATTATGTAGAGTATATAATATCATATCTTTTTGGCTTTGCTTTATCACATATTGGGTTTTATTTTTGTTTCGACGAAATAATTGATCATTTTGAATAAAATAATATATATATTCTTTTTGAACTCGAGATTTATTCAAGTTAGTAGCATCTAGCAAAAATGTTAATTCAGATAGATATTGGTATATTTTTTGATATAACTTGTTATCTATTATCTATTGTTTTTGTTATAGGTAAGCGTGAAAAGAAATCTGCATTTTGGTTCTGTTTACCAAAACTATATTTAATATCATACTGGTATTCTTGTAGGGTAAGCCGCTATCATATTATTCTTTTATTGTCATTAAGAGTAGTGTTGTTTAATAATCATTGTAAAGCTTTATGATCAGTTATAAGTATAAATCTCGATTCATGAATGTAGTGTCTAAAATATTTTACTGCCCAAATAGCAGCTAAGTATTCGAGCTCAACTGTGCTATAGTTTTTCTCTGCTGGTGATAATGTTCTACTTGCATAAGCAATAACATGTTTTTTGCCTTCTTTTATTTGTAATAATACTGCTTCTAATCCCAAATAAGAAGCATCAGTAAATAGTAAAAATAGTTGATCGTAATTAGAATATTGTAATATTGGTGCGGTTGTAAGACAATATTTGAGCCAGTCAAATATTTGTTGATGTTCATCTGTTTAAATAAACTCTACATCTTTTTGTAATAATTTAAATAATGATAAAGCCTTTTTAGAGAAGTTTTCTATAAACCTTTTATAATAAGACGCAAGTTCTAAAAATGCTTGTAGTTTAGTTATATTTTTAGGAGGTATTAGCTTAGTAAACTTTTTTACTTTTGTAGATCTGGTTTGATTCCTTCATTGTCCACTATATGTTCCAAAAATTCTAATTGTTTGGTACCAAAATGATATTTTTCTAGGTTGATTTATAAGTTTGCATCTTTGATTAGATTAGAGACGTGACAAAAATCAGGTGATTTTTTAGGGGAAGGGGTA